AGTTTGCAGTCAAAGTAGGGTACCGGGTGTCGAACAATGAGGCAGAGTACGAGGCGGTTATTAAGGGAATGCAGTTGGCTATGCTGGGAGGAGTTCGAAAGATCCAGGTGCATTCTGACTCCTAACTGGTGGTGGGCCAGTTCCAGGCGGATTTCAAGGTGAAAGAAGAAATTATGTAGAAGTACGTGGAGGAGATTAAGAGGTTGCAAGAGGAGTTTAGCTCATTCGAGCTGGTGCAGATACCTCGAGGGGAGAACGATCGAGCAGATCTGTTATCCAAAATTGCACAGAATCTGGTCGACTGTAAGAGCAGAAGTGTAACTTTGCTGCACATGGAGAAGAGCATGGTAGAATGTGAGGTGGTCGAAATAGAAGAGGTCGATGACTGGAGAGCCTCGATATTGAAGGAGTTGAAAGAAGGAGGGGCAAAGGTGTTGAGGAGGTTCTTCGAGCATAGAGGAGTGTTGTATAAGCGGTCGTATGCTGGACCTCACTTGAGGTGTGTTACGCGAGAGGAAGGTCGATATGTGCTAAGGGAGACGCACGAAGGGTGCTGCAGTGATCATAGCAAGGCGGGTTCTTTGGTGGCCAAAATTCTGAGGGCAGGATATTTCTGGCCAACTATGAAGGAGGATGTAAAAATGATGGTGAGGAAATGCTTGCAATGTCAGAAACACAGTCCGCTTATTCATCAACCGGTAGAGACGATGACTACGATGAGTGCCCCTATCCCATTCGCGCAGTGGAGCGTCGATCTGGTGGGGCCGATGCCGCAGGGAACTGGGCAAAGGAAATTCTTGATTGTGGTGGTGGATTATTACACGAAGTGGGTGGAGGCCGAACCATTGGCCAAGATTACGGAGGAGAAGGTCATACAATTTTTATATAACAGTATTTGTTGCAGGTTTGGTGTCCCGAAGGTACTGGTGTCCGACAATGGGACACAATTCAATGGCAAACGGATTCGAGCATGGTGCGAAGACATGAAGATCGAGCAACATTTCGCATCGGTCGCTCATCCACAAGCCAATGGACAAGTCGAGGTGACCAATAGGATCATACTGAACGGTCTAAAAACCAGACTAGAGAAGGCGTCGGGTGCATGGGTGGACGAGCTCACTTCTGTACTTTGGGCATATCGAACAACGCCGAGGCCGACAATAGGGGAAACCCCCTTCAGCCTGGTCTACGGAATGGAGGCATTACTTTCGGTGAAGATCGAAGTCTAGTCCCAGAGATCGAGCACATATGATCTTGAACAGAGTGAGAACTTGATGACGGCGGCCCTCGACACAATGAAAGAACTTCGAGAATGTGCCTCGATCAGGGTCGAGGCATATAAACAGAGAATGCGGGAAGCACATGACAGAAAGGTGAGGGGCAGAAGGTTTCAGGTGGGTGACCTGGTCTGGAAGAGGGTGGACGTGGTAAAGCATGTGGGAAAGCTCGAGCCCAACTGGGAAGGACCATATCTGGTCGAGAAGGTCCATGCGGGAGGAGCATACTCGCTCAAAGACACCGAAGGAAGATCACTCCCCAGGTCATGGAACTAGGCTAACTTGAAGAAATATTCTGTTTAAATTTTTCTCCTTTTTTCTTTTGATTGGAAATGTTTCACAAAAATGATGTAATCGAATTCTCAGTTTCTGATTAATGAAATTCCATTTACAAGTTGCAATACCTTGTCTAATTATTGCTTCATCCTACTTTGCATATGTGGTGTCGCGCGATAACTGGCTGCTCGAAGATAAAAATCCATCATGATTAAGGCCGAGAGGCTAGATGGTCGCATGTAACGACCACCCCTTTGAAGGTGGACATGTGCTTGAAGACAAAAAATCCATCATGATTAAGGCCGAGAGGCTGAATGGTCGCATGTGATGACCACCCCTTTGAGGGTGGACATATGCTTGAAGATAAAAAATCCATCATGATTAAGGCCGAGAGGTTGGATGGTCGCATTTAACGACCACACCTGTGATGGTGGACATGTGCTCGAAGACAAAAAATCCATCATGACTAAGGCCGAGAGGCTGGATGGTCATATTTAACGACCACACCTGTGATGGTGGACATGTGCTCGAAGACAAAAAATCCATCATGACTAAGGCCGAGAGGCTAGATGGTCGCATGTAACGACTACCCCTTTGAGGGTGGACATGTGCTTGAAAATAAAAAATCCATCATGACTAAGGCCAAGAGGCTGGATGGTACGGTTATAAACCAAATGGTGTTAGGAGGGAGCTGGTTCAATGGGAGCTCGAACCACTTGCAAAGGTCGAGCAAGTCTTCGCATAAAGGGAAGCGGACACCGAGTTTGAATTGAATTTCAAAAAAGGTATAGCAATTTTTGGGGGGACAGTCATAGAGGTCCTTGGGCCCAAGGGATAGAAAGGCCCATTTAGCAGGGTGGCCAACCTCATCAGTGTTCAGCCAGCCGCCTATGAGAGTACGGGAAGAAGTATTCTTAGAGGAGGAGGAGGTTTTGATCGACTTCCCCTTTTTCTAGGCAGCCTTAGAAGAGGCAGCGATAGGGGCAGTCTGGGATGCAAAAGGAGTAGCAGTGGTCGAGGATTTTACTGTGGATGGAGAATGAACGCTTTTCTTAGGATTACTTGAAGAAGTGGCCCTAGAAAAGACAGAATGGTGAGAAATGGGAATGTCATCATCATCCTTCTCGGCGGCAGCCGCAGCGGCATCGAGAGCCATTTCGGCGACGTCAGAAGCCCCGAACGCCGGCCGACGGCGAGTGAGCGGAACCTTATCAAGGGTGTCTTCATCTGATTCATCAATCAGACGGTGAGGTTTGGGAGAAGGAGGAGGTGTCGAGTAATCAGAAGGGCGCCGGAAGTTGAGAGGAACGGGGTTATAGATTTCTTCAACAGAGCGAGAAGGCGAGTGAGGAACAGGTCAACGAACTTGGGGATGACGATGTGGCGGTCGCATCTTTGCCGGAGTGGTGACTCATTAGAAGCAGCGGGATCTGAAAGTAAGAGGGAGGAAGATTAAAAGGAAAAGGACAGAGGTTAGGGTTTTGGAAGGCGAAAAGAGGAGCACCTCTTCACAGATGAAATAAGGAAGTGTTGGAAGAGAAGAACCAACAGTGGAAACCAAAAGCCAAAGTGTAGAAGACTTACTCATGGTTGTCGTAGAGAGCGGTTGCCAGAAAGTGCTTGAGGAAAGAGCACCGAGAGCAGGAGAGAACAGCTTGCAGAGGAAGAAATTAGGGCACAAGAAAACTTGAGATTTGCAGAAGTGGAGAAAAAGCCGAAAAAATCCTAAGTTCGGATATTTATGCGAGTACAGAGGAAGATAAGGTGAAGAGTTAGTAGAAATAGCCGTTGGATAAAAGGGAGATCTAATGGCTGAGAGAATTTAAAGGGCGCGGATAGCGAAGCAGCACAAATCGTGAGAAGACGTGATGATTAAAAGCATTGAATAGATGGAACGCGTGGCAGGCGGAAGCCGCATTAATAAAGGCAGAGGAGAGGTGGTCGAAAATCCACCATAAAATCGGTCAAAGGGTCGAGAGATAAGATCAAATCCGGTCAAAAGGTAGAGAAGTCAGCAGATCGAAGAGGCAGACACAAGCTCACTCTTAGATCGAGTCATTCAGACTCGACCAGAATGGGAGGGACTAGATGATATGGGATATTATATGCCTGAAGAATAGACCGGTTTACCACGTTGGCTGTACAAGCTCGATATCGGAAAAATTGCAGTGGTCGAACAATAATTGGTTAAGAGGAAGTAATCGAGTAGGATAGCAGACCTGGTTGATGATCGATCTAGCAAAGGGGGGCTTAGTCAGATCGAGCACTCGACGGGTGAAGAGCAATCGAGTGCGTGACTTGAACGCGAGAAAGCGCGTGGACCTTGTCAGAAAATCCCAACGGAGTATGCAGGAGAATAATCACCCTCCGCTCAGAGGGGCACGTGGCGAAAGTACATTGGTGCAGAGCGATAGTGGCGATAACCACCTCTAACACCTCTGACACACGCACACTGTGTGTTTACAGACGGGCAGAGTTGGGAGGACAACTCATCAGATCCGAGCAGCTCCTAGGACAGGTATCTCACTCCTATATATATATAGGAGTAAGCCTTTCTTGTTACTTACGATTTATCCATTTATTATTTTGGAGAATTGAGTGAAACACATACTTACTTAAGCATTGGAGGCTCTTCACCAGAAAAATCCCCCGGTGTGAGAATTCTTTGTAGGTACGCGGCATTCTACCGGGGAAGAGGAGAAAGGCGAGCTGATTTCAAACCGGTCGGAGTGTTTTGCGTTACCAATATATATTTACGAAGATCATCCCTACAAACTATGCGAAACTAAACCGCGCAGTAATGCGAAATATGTTTACTGACCAATTGATAATTTGCCTGATAATAGTTGAGATTGCAGAAAATGTATGCACAATATAAAAAAAATTATTATGAAATAGATCTGAGATTACGAAGAAGAAGAACAAAGGAAAGCTTGATAGAGAAAAATGTGTTTACAGATATGAATCGACAGAATGAATGAGCAAACCCTAATGTACATGCCTTTTATACTCTAGCACTTATAAGCACTTATACATAAAATGCTATCATATGTCAAAGCACGATTTCAGCTAACTAACAACAATTTACAATAATAACCCTATACTAATAAAAATAAATACATAAGTACTCACTGAACAATTGTCAAAAAATGCATGCCAGCTAACTTGCGGGATTTGGTTGATATAAGCAACCAATAAAATTCAAGCACTGAATAAAAAAAAATAGAGAATAAACACCGAATAATTGACAAAAATGTCCACAAACTCGTGTGATTTGATAGATATTCAATTTAATTAATTGATAAATATTTTTTGTAAGTGCAAAAATTACATTAAAAAGTCGTTATATGCATGTATTTTGAAATTTTGCATGTTTAAATATAGGAGAACTAGATGAATTATCTCATTTCATTATAGAGGGCCTGATATTCTATTGAAATAAAGAACCGTGACGACTCATGGTTGGTGTGAATTTGGCTTATTTGTGAAAAATGTTTCATTATGCCACAAATTGTTCATATGATCTATATCGGATTCTACAATATCAAAAATAAATTTGTAAATTAATTGTGCACAAGCATAGAACGTATCGATTCCAGAATTTTCCATAAGTCGGAATTTTTAAAAATTGCAAACATAACATGATTGTCTTTTCATGATTTATAAATTAAAATCCTCATCTTATAACAGCATGGCTGTTTGGACAAACCCAATGATTAGATAAGATAGTTATTAATTCTACTTTTTCTTTAACTAACAAATTAAATGTCATATTCTAAAAAATTTTTACAAATTAATAAATAACATGACGATTAATAGTATAAATATGCATTAAAAATGTATCACGAGTCGAGCAACTAACAAATATATATGCTGCCTAATATGAGAATATAATTTGTAATGTTATAGTTACAACAGATTTGGTCACTTCGTTGAAAGGTAGAGATTTAATTCGAA